GTGTGTGTGTGTGTGTGTGTGTGTGTGTGTGTGTGTGTGTGTGTGTGTTTGCTAATGCAGAGCATACTCAGAATCCAAGATATGTTTTTTTCTACAGATTAATTTGTTACAAAGCTCCTGCATCGCTGATGTTATTTTCTAAGGGGAAAAAAACTAAGAAGAAGCTGAGTAACTACCTTGGCTTGGTGACTAGGTGAAGATTTAGCACTTCGCAAAGATTGAGAACCATTATTGCAAGGATGAATTCTAAGTACAGGACTTCGCCGATCAATGTCATCTGCCAATTCTTCTTGGTAGATTGGATTGGCAAAGGAGACTCTTCGGTTCTGTTCACACATATTTGACAAATTATTATTGGAGTAAATATGAAGCATCATACAAATGCAAAAGCTACAATTTCATAGCTTGGAAGTTCCCATGGCTTACATGTTGCTTAAAATACAGATCCTTTCAAACTTCCAAAGAAAATCTATACAAGTTTTCATAAAAACTTTCATAAAAACAAACTATTAGATTATTATCTATTAAAGAAACATAGAAATCTATCACATGAACCTAAAATGTGCATTTTTAGTAAAAGCAAATTTATCTAGGTTCCCACAAAGTAGACATGCTCTCCCAGGAAAGTCATGTACCTACAAAGCCAAATGAATGAATATTACAGTGAATATTATGGTGATATTTTAAAACTGGAATGCTAAACACATTTCCTTGAGGAAGCAGCACTTATTGGTGATGTAATAGGGAATTGTACTGCTAATAGTACTGGGCAAATTAAGTGATAGGTCGCACATAAATAAAACAGGAATAATGAACTTCCTTTTTTCATATTTCATTGGAATCCAAGTTAAAAGACCATGGATTTACATTATACTTTGGACAGAAAGATACTAAATGCTATCCTTTTCTTAACTCATTGAGGTTCCTTCATTAACAACACTTGTAAGTAGCCTTTAAACTCCACTAAGTGGAATACAGATAGTCCTTGACTCTCCTGTTTAGTAACATTCAGTTATAGTGGGACTGAAATTGTAAGTTTACAATCAGACCTCACATTTTTTTAAACTGGTGCAGCATCTTGTGAGATATTATATATATATATATGTATGTATGTATGTATGTATGTATGTATATATGTATGGCATTCAGCTTTGTTCGGGTATTTTCCCACGTCATTGTAGTTGTGCTTTTAAAGTTGTAGCAACGTTTCGGCAGAATCTCATCTGCCATCATCAGGCTTCTGTAATTATATAATATTATATATTATATAATATATATATAATTTATATGAGATATTATTTATATATATATATTTATATATATATTTATATATATAGAAGCACAGAGCCGAAGACACAAGCCTGAAGATGATGAATGAGACTTCATCGAAACGTTGCCTAGATACTTCTAATCTTACGCGGGAGAAAACCCGAATAACCAAAGATCCACATACATACATACATACATACATACATACATACATACATACATATATACACACACATACACACACACACACATATATACATATACATATATATATCTGACGAGCAAAGTCAATAGAGAAGCTAGCAGTAAAACTGCAAGCCGCAGTCATGGGACATCTCATTTTATGACCAATGATTGACTTAACTGTGGAAGTGAGGCAGTAAACCACATCATCTCACTTAATGACTTCATTACTAATCCCAATTGTAGTCATTACGTGGTGACTACCTGTGGCAAACAATGGCTGTTATAACTTCAGCACATCTGAATACTGGAATTTCAAAAAATTAACTCAAACTTTACATTGTTATTTTTATTCATTAAAATCTCTAAAGTCCTGGCAAAACTGCAGATGCCAGTAGAGAGAAAGAAAATATTATTTAAGTATGTAAACTCTGTGCACAATATTCACTAACCATGGAGTCAAATGAAGGCATATTTTTACACAACCAAACCCATTAAAGAATTATTTGGGGCTGTGACCAATGCATTATCATTTGAATGCCATTAGCACTTCATTTAGGCTCTGTATGAATTACTCCAAATGCCCAACCATCAGGCATAAGAAATAATTTGCTGAATAAAAACATGTGTCAAGTAGGATATAAATGTTCAAGTGGCTGTACAATTACATTAAAATAATGTATTCTATAAACCAAGTAATGAAAATTCCAGTGCTGATCAAAAGATCTCCCTTCACCCAACAGTCTTCCGAGTTTTATTGCTTCAGGCATGCCACATAGACTTTAGTAGCTTAAGAGGCTGGCGAATCATGGATTTCAACTATGGCAAAGAAACTAAAAATATATGTAGGGTTTCAAAGGGAGTTTGGGTAATATGCAAATAATCACAGGTAGAGTGGCACAAATTGCTTAAAAATACCTTGTTTGCAGGTGATGATGACTCTTCCTCTGGTTCTCTTTTGATGGCTCTCTTTAAAATACTTATAGAAGGAGAAGCTGATGGGGACCATAGACAGCGAGCCTGTGTCCCAGTGGGACTTCCACTGACCTTGGCTAAAGAAAGAAAATCAAGTTCTTTACATTTTGGTGGAGAATCCAAGGTGTTACTTTTCTCCTGCCACAAGACTAAGGTTGGACGTTCACTTGGTTCACTTGCTGCATTATCTTCTGCACCTTCTTCCTCACTCGTCTCATTTTCCTGCAGCTCTGCTACCTCAGTGGCAGATGTTACTGTAATCTCTTCTACAATATTCTGAATGACTCCTTCCTCCTCAGGTTGTGCTCCCACAACTTGAATAATTTTGATCTCTGTATCTGTTTCACTTTCCAACTGACCATTTTGGTTACTACTGGCTTCCATTCCAGTCTCTGCTTCTGCGTCAGGTTCTAAACCCTGATCCTTAGCACTGACTTCTTCTGAATGAGAATCCTCTGAATCTGGTTCTAAACCCTGATCCTTGGCAATGACCTCTTCTGAATGAGAATCCACTGAACCTGGTTCTAAACCCTGATCC